GGTTTTCTCAGGGGAAAAAAACCCAAACGATTAATTTAAATACTAAGTATATGGTTCTTAAAAAAAAACTGCAAATAACCACTTTGGCCAAGCAAACGTACCCCGGTAAAACACAATTCTTTCTGGAGGCTTTTGAGGACGCTACCAAAAATCCCTATGCGTACCTGCTGGTGGATTTAAATGCTTCAATGCCTGAAGCCTTCAGGTTAAGAACAGGCCTTTTCCCCCCAGACTGACCCTGTGTATACACCTTAAAAAAAACCAAACAAACATAAAAAATAGTTATTTTTATCAAACCCCCTTTTTAAAAAAAGTGTCCTGCCTGACAATCATGTCTAGGTGCGTGCAGAGAAACCTGGCTCTTTTAAGATTCCTCATCAAAGCCAAACCCCAGCAAAGGAAGGCTATTCTATGCTTGGCTTCTTACAACCTGGTAGCGACCATCTCAGAAATAGCGCTCAGTACATGAAAAGGAAACGTTCCTCTGAAACCCCGACAAATAAGCGTACTAAAAAGAAAACGGGGGATTATTAAAAAGCTGAGCGATAAAAGGGTATCCCTCAAAAGGAAAAAGCTAATTGTAAAACAGGCCGGGGGCTTTATCGGTCCTTTGTTGAGCTTTGCACTCCCTCTACTGTCAGCCCTTTTAATTAACTGATAATGGACCATGCCGAAAAATTGTATCTTGTTTTCTAGCCATCAGTTAGAACAAATAAAATGCGCCTCTAGCGGTGAAGAAAATATCAGAACTACAACCACTCCCCAATTGGATTCAGAGATGAAAGACATTAATCAAAGATACAATTTGTCCGACTACGAAAAGACTAAACTTTATGAGAGGGTCCTGCAAAGATACCTGGTATTGGTTAAGCAGGGTGAAGTGGAAAATACTAAAATAAGTCTCTTTCTCCCCAAGCAAGAGCAAGAGGAAATTCGACCTCCCGAAGTCGAGAGGAATTCATCAGACTTTGTTATTTGGGAGGTATTGGAGGGGGTAAATCCTCGCTATAAGAAAAAAGCTGAAATAGTGTTAAATAAACTCAAGATAGCATAAAGATGTTTCTTCTTGGGCTGATAATGGAAGTTTTGTTTACCGGGGGAAGTGGTTGCGGGGTCTCACATGCTCGATTTAGTCGAGGGGTAACCGGCTTTTATTCTTTCACTAACAAGAGGACTCCTAAAGGGTGTCTGGGGGAAATCCATAGGAATCAAAGAACTCGCCCGGCCCCTGCTTTGGTAAATAGAGGGCCAGCCAGTGTTCCCCAGGTAAGTCATGGGGGTGCGTGTTAACAATAAGCCCCAAAGGTCTTCCGGACACAGACCCCTTTGGGAGCAAGTCACTAGGAAAAACATCTAAAAAAGAAGCATCCTTTGATAAAATATGCCTTAGCTGCACGGTGTTCATAATCATATATAGTCAAACAGGATTTTTCTTCTATGGTTCTCTTCAAGCATATTATCAAAAACCCCATACACTATCATGTTAACCGTAGAGAGCAACACCGTTGCAAACCGAATCTCGCTCTCAGGTTTCCAGTTTTAATCAGAGAATAATGATTAGCGAACTCCTAGTCCGGGGTCAGATTGAAGGCGTACAGCGTGTTAGCCTGGGCAAATGGTCATTCAAGAGTGATCCGTCTTTTACATATTTCCCAATCGCCTGCACGAGCTGTATGTACTCCCTCACGCAGTTTCCATTCTCAAAATCGGGTCGTAGGGGTTTCGCTGGCCCCTGTTCACCATCCACATACAAGGCCACAAAATTAATGTTATAATGTTTAAAGTTAAAAGGGTTTTTAGCATAGTTGCCGTTGAAGGCATCGTTATCGATAAACCTGATTATGAGCTGCGTGGGTAACTGTCCCAAAAAAAGGTTTTCCTGGTGACTGACAACTGCCGGCCAGAATTCTCAACATCTTTATGCCCATCCTGTCTACCGGGTACTTAGCACTGGCAGTCATTAGAGCTTCCACATGCTCCAAGCGAACCCCCGGTGTCACTTTCACCTGTTTTACAAACAGGGACACTGAAGTAATATGCACTTTATAATTCTGGTTGGCATTCCCTCTCACAAGGCAAAAACCATCTTTGCTATGCGTCAGTTTAATTTTCAAGTCCACGCCATTCAGCAGCAGTTTTCCTTGAAAAAGCAAATCACTGTGTAGGCCCCAAAAAATCCAGCTTCTTGCTGCCGGCCATTAGTCTGGGCTTGCGCATAGACCCCTCGTTACCTGTGCCATCCAAAATGGTGCTTTCGTGGGCCCCCACCATCTCTTTATAAAACCCTCCTGTTGGCCAGACTATTTTGAGGAAAAGCCCCTGCAGAGGCTTTGCTGGGCAAGTTAACATAACCCACTTCAGTCATTTTTTCCCTTTATTAGAGGCCTTGAACTTGAGACGCTTTAACCCAACTGTTAAATTTTTAAGGCCATCCTCTCCAGTTCATCAAAAAATACTCATTCTTTCCTGTACTTTCTTCACTAGAATCTTTTCTACCCTGTAAACACAGTCCTGGTTAGGGTTTACTTTTTGTAATTCTTCAGGGTAAAAAGACTTCCTGCGACCTCCTCTTCTCCATAATCTTTTAATGCGTACACAGGTCACTGTCCTCGTAATAAAACCCCAGATACGGTAAATATTTCATCAGTAAAGGTTTGCTGATATCCCTTTTCAAAAGTACCCTTCGTTTTAGATACCCTTATGTGATCGCTGTTCTTAAAAATCATTGATGGTGCCTTTATTTTAAAACTATCCCCATAGACGGTTTTCCACATGCTCAGCATGTTAGTGTGTGTCACGTTGATCAGGCGTCCTCTGATAGTTCTGTGATAACTTCTGTTGTAACCGTCTATGATGGCCCGCAGCACGTTGATGTATCGAAAGGTGCTACGGGCAGTAAAATACCTCCACATCTTTGATTTTAAAGTTCTGTTAAACCTCTCCACAACCCCAGCCTTGACTTCATTATTGGTAACAAAATGGTGTAACCCATGTTGCTTAAACAAAATCTTTAAAGCTTTGTTTAAAAACTCTTTTTCCCTGAAGCAGCAGCATGTCCAGCTCCAAGGTGCAGGGGCGGCCACGGGGGATCTGCGCACTGCCCCTGCCCTGACTGCCTGCTCCGCAGCTCCCATTGGTCAGGAACCGCAGCCAATGGGAGCTGCAGGGGCAGCGTCTGCGGATGGGGAGAGAGCGCAGAGCCCCCTGCCTGTCCCTCCACCGAGGAGCCAGACATGTCAGCTGCTTCCCAGGAGCTGCCTGAGGTAAGCAGTGCCCGGAGGCTGCAACCTGAACCCAAACTCCTTCCCAGAGTCCACATCCCCTCCCGCATCCCAACCCACTACCCCAGCTATGAGGCCCCTCCCGCACTTCGAACCCCTCATCCCCAGCCCCACCCCAGACCCTGCACCCTCAGCTGGAGCTCACACCTCAACCCCCTGCCCCAGCACAGTGAAAATAAGAGAGTGAGCAAGGGAGGGGGAGAGCGAGCAACAAAGGGAGGAGGGATGGAGTGTGTGGGGGGGCTCGGGAAAGGGTGTTCGGTTTTCTGCTATTAGAAAGTTGGCAATCCTTGGTCTACGGTGAGCCTGGTGCCCACAGCCAGGGCCGCATTAATGCAGGGGCTTTAGGGGCTGCAGCCCAGGGCCTCGGGCTAAGGGGAGGGGCCCACGAAAATAAATCCATAATTATATACAATTCAGTGGTCACCAACCTGTCGGTCACGATCAACTAGTCAATCCTAGAGTCTCTGCCAGTCGATCGCAATCTCTGGGCTACTAAAAGTCCAATGGCACAGCAGGGCTCAGGCAGGCAGGCTGCCTGCATGCCATGGCCCCACGTTGCTCCCGGTAGTGGCCGGCTGCTGGCACATCTCTGCAGCCCCTGGCGGGGGGGAGGAAAGGTGACTCCACACGCTGCCCCCATCCCCGGCACCATCCCTGTAGCCTCCCATTGGCCGGGGGCAGCGCTTACAGGTGCGGGTAGCACATGGAGACATGCTGTCACCCTCCCCCCAGGGTGCATCGAGACATGCCAGCAGCCGGCCGCTTCCAGGAACGGCAAGGGATTATAGCAGGCAGCCGGAGTCCTGCTGCGCCACCAGCCGCCTGTGGTAAGTGCCTCCCAGATGGAGCCTGCATCTCACCCCCCCCCCTGCACCCCAATCCCCTGCCCCAGATCAGAATCCCCTCCTGCACCCAAACTCCCTCCCAGACCCCACACTCCCGCCTGCACCCCAACCCTCTTCCCCAGGTCAGAATCCCCTCCTGCACCCAAACTCCCTCCTAGAGCCCACACCCCTCCCCTTTCCTGCACCCCAACCCCCTGCCCCAACCTGGTGCCTCCTGCTGCATCCAACTCCCAACCAGAAAGAAACTAATTTAACAGCTGTTCTAAGGTAAGAAGTAGGCTATTTTGAATTAAGGTAACTATATTCAACTTCTTGCATCTGAAAAAGTGAGGTTCTTACCCACGAAAGCTTATGCTCCCAATACTTCTGTTAGTCTCAAAGGTGCCACAGGACCCTCTGTTGCTTTTTATAGTCAACATGTTTTAAGGCTGAAATGTAACCACACAAGGGCCTTATGTTAATTAAAAGGCAAGTTTAGTATAGTGTTAATAGTCTCAATGGCATAATTGTGATGATTTTGTTTTAAATTAGGAAAAAGACTTGTATACAGGGGCCCCACAAAATCTAATCGCCCCAGGCCCAGGGGAGCGTTAATCCGGCCCTGCCCACAGAGGGGGCTCCGGGGAAGGGAGCAGCCCGGGAAAGAGGCGGGCGGACGGCTGGGGTTGAGGCTGAAGGGCAGCGGGGGAGGGGCGGCTGCAGGCCGAGCCCCGGTGTTGAGGTGGGGGAGGCCTGCCCCGGACGAAGCGAGGCCCGCGACACACTCGCTCCGTCCCCGGGATCACACAAAGCCGCACCCCGCCGCAAGGCGGTGGGATGGTGAGCGGTGACGCACGAGCGGCCGCACAATGGAGGAGAAGCGCGATGGTACCTCATTTCCGCCCGGATCCGATCCAGGCGGAACTTTCCTCAGGCTGCGGGGGAAGGGGCCGGCGTTGGAGACGCGGGAGGTGGGGTTCTCATTACCTATCCTGCAGCGGCTCCTCTCCCTGCGCCCCACATCCGGGGCGGGCCACTGTACCGCGCGGTGCCTCGATAGGATTGTCCGCCGATGGAAACCTCATAGACCACGTGACCCGGTTTCCCTTGCGGCGCTCTAGCTCCGCTCTCGCCAGACTCTATGGTTTTAGGCGGCTAGGTGGAATCCTCGCCGGGCCCGTGGCCCCGAGTTCTCGCGAGAACGAATATGGAGGGAGAAGAGGGGCCAGGCGCCGCGGCGGCTGGGCCGCCGGCGGGCGGGGCCGGAGGAGGGGGAGGAAGTGTCATGGCGGCGGCTGTGAGTGGGTCTGGTGGCGCGGGCTCGGCGGTGCGGGGTGGCGGCGCCTCTTTGTCGCCATCGCGCTGGTTCTTCAGCCGGGAGCAGCTGGAGAACACGCCGACCCGGCGCTGCGGGGTGGAGGCTGACAAGGAGCTCTCGTATCGGCAGCAGGCGGCCAACCTCATCCAGGACATGGGCCAGCGCCTCAACGTGTATCCGAACGGGGAGACCGGGCCGGGGGAGGGCCAGGCCTGGGCGGTAGCGGCGGCAGCCTCATCCGGCAGTTCAGCGCGTAGGGAGGGGAGCGGGGTCCGGCCCAGGGGCCGGCTAGGTACCAGGTCGGGTGTAGCGAGAGGTACCGGCCGAGAGCCGGAGAGTGCCGGGGGCCGGGAGAGGAAGCGAACCGGGGCCTGGTGCTGGGATGGGAGCTGGGGCCTAGAGTGTGGTGGAGGGGAGGCAGCGGGGAGCCGCTGCGGGGCGGGAGTTGTTGGTTGGTGTTTCTGTTCCCGGCTCCGTGTCTTTGGGGTTTGGGGGTGATGATTACATTATCTCAAACTCCCGGTTGATCGAGCCCTCTTCGGGGAGCGGGTCAGAGCTGGTGTAACATGCCCCAACTCTGTGCTGCTGCCGCCGCCGCCGGGTATGGGGGGCGGGGGATTGAAGCACGTGCTTCTCTAAATTGGGTCGAGATTCTTTCACCCCATTGATGTGACTAAACTCCAAAGCTGTTTTCATCTCCTTTGGCTTTTGCAGCTACTGTAATATTTTCTTAGTCCCTTAAAGCCAAACTTCTTCTCTCCCACCCCTTGAAATAAAAGGGAGAATGACTTTTTGTTGTTGTTGTTGAAGTTGAATATAGTGTTAGGAGGAAGAGCTGCATTTTAAGCCCCTGTGTTTGTAGCTAAATCTTAGTTTATATTCTACCATACTCCTCACAAAGAAGGCCTCCCAGTTGTCTCTCTTAAAAGTAAACTCTCCCTTTTTGGATTAATCCTAAAGCAGTTTTTATAAACTTTTTCCATTGTTTTTCAATTATACCTTTACAATTTCCCTCATTCAAATTGTTATATAGTATGATTGTAGACTTGGCAGTTTTTTCATTGATTTCTAGGTTTTGTTAGAAGTACTTTAAGTATAAACAATAGTTATTGTTCACAGGAAATAATCTTCCATTTCTCTTGGAATTAACATCCAATACTATAACAAGTTTTTGTTCAATTCTATTTTAAAAGCTAGGATTCAGTGGGTTATAGTCGTTAGAAAAAAGACTCTTAACCTGCATAAACTTATATAAAGGGTACTTGAGAGTTATTTTAAAATGTTTGATACAGTAAAATTGTTCGTAGCAAGAGGATGCAATGTTAAAATATGTCTAAAGATAAATCCTGAATTAGGGAGTCTCCTTCCAATGAATGAGACATGGTAAATCTGGTTTTACAAACTCTCTATTGTGTTTGAAAGAAATAGTAAAAGTATCTTCGCACCAGTTATGTGTACTCAGTTTATTACTGCTTTATTAATTCACTTACAGCTTTATTTAATAGAATAACATAAAAAGTATTTGTGGTAGATAGAATTTCAAGTTTACTGATTATACATTGTTTGTCTAGATGTGTAAAATTTCCTTAATCCCGTCTTTCAGATCTCAGCTTACAATAAATACTGCAATTGTTTACATGCACAGGTTTTATATGCATCATTCCTTCACAAAATTTAATAGAAATGTAAGTACTGACTTTTATACTCTTAAACTATACTTGCACATAATTTTGAAGCAACAGCTGACAGCTTTCACATGTGATGCTGTCACAGTTTCACTGTATTTTAAAGTATTCTAGCTTCAGAATACTATTTTAGAAATATTATTTGTAGTACTCTTATTTCAAGTGGAGACTATTTTAACAGGTAGTAATTAAAATTTAACTTCTGCTATGTTCCTAAGCTAGAGAAATAATGTGATAAACAACAAGAATACATGCTGACCAATCTTCTTGATTTTTCTATTGTACATATGTTGGTTAAACTCTGTCAATGGAGTTTAAAAGTCTGGGGATTTGGGTAGAGACCAGTGCGGATACAAAATTTGTATCCACATCTGATCTGCAAACATGGTCTGAGGATATCCTCATCTGCAGATATAAAGCTGATCTCCGCAGATTTGGAGGGCTCTAGATATGGAACAAATACTACCTTTACTAGTTAGGAGTCACCAGTTACTGTGGTGCACGGCATGACGTGCCTAACTGATGCAACTATGGTTTGTGTCTAGTTTACGTATACAGTAGAACTTCAAAGTTATGATGCCCTCATGGAATGGAGGTTGTTTGTAACGCTGAACAAAAACCATTATGGTGGTTCTTTCAAAAGTTTACAACTGAGATTTGACTTAATACAGCTTTGAAACTTATGCAGAAGAAAAATGCTGCTTTTAACCATCTTAATTTAGACAAAACAAGCACAGAAAGTGTTTCCTTACCTTGACAAATCTTTTTTTAAACTTTCCCTTTATTTTTTAATAGTTCACATTTAACACAGTACTATGCTGTATTTGTTTTTTTTTTTTTGGTCTCTGCTGTTCCCTGATTGCATACTTCCAGTTCCAAGTGAGGTGTGTGGTTGACTGGTCAGTTCATAACTCTGAAGTTCTACTGTACTTAGTTTTGTAAAAGCCGTGGTCAACTAATATAACACTTCTACCTTCAGTAACTCAATGGGCACTAGTAGATGGAAAAAATCTCAGATCTGGTCTGGAAAGTAGCTCTAGCTGCCTTGTATGTAATTTACTGGTGAACCGGATGTTAAATCTTTAATACAAATTATGTTTGTGTTTGGATGTTTCTGTAATCAGTTCTGTTTGGAATATTTTTTATAACTGGATAATGTGAAATCTCAAGCCTGTTTTTCCTGTCAGATATATTAGATGTGTTGGTCAAAAAAATATTTGTTCAGTGCTTATGTTTTTCATCATATGAAAATAGATCTTTTGGATTTGCTTTCTTCCTCCCCCCTTATCAAGAATAGTCAATGGTGTAAGGAGCTATGTTATTTAATGGCATGGATGGACTCTCTGAGCCCTGGCTACACTGTAAAAATAGTTTAAACACTGGTGTAAAACATAGTTGAGATCCAGGTGCGTTAAGATTTTTGTTTGTTTGTTTTGATGGTAGAACAAGAAATTAGCCATATAAAATTATTGGACCAGAAACAAATTTCATAATCATGATGAACTATTTTTGCCACCCAGGAGTCTGTCAAATTTGCAGCAAGCTGGTTATCAAATAGTTACAGCGTTTTAAGCCACATCTACAAAAAATGTTAAGGCTCTGTCTGTGTGACAGAAATATCAGTGGTGTTTAAACATGATTCTGAGACATGATTATGTCCTGGACCTGGACACTCTTTATTCTTGTTTTTTGAATGGAGAAAATCTGTGTTGCAACTGTGTTAGGACCATGTATTTATTTTATTGATATGTATCTAGCGGGAAATGTACTTCTTTAAAATAGCTTTTTGTTCTCAGGGCAAGAATAGTGTTAGAAGAGGTTTAGGACTCAAGTGTATATCAAAATCATGTTTAAATACGATTAGGTTATTTTGCATGGACAAGCCTTTTAAAGGTGTTTTTGGATTAATCCATCGAGGGCAGTAGAAGATTTGTACTACATCACTTTTTCTCATTTTGATAGATAAATACATGGTCTAGTTCAGCGGTTCTCAAACTTAATTGCATAGCGACCCCCTTCTGACAACAAAAATTACTACATGACTCCAGGCACGGGGAGGGGCCTGGAGCCGAGCTTGAGGCCTGCTACCCTGGGGGGTGAAGTCCAAGTACTGATGCCCTTGGGCTTCAACTTCAGCACCAGGTGACGGGGCTCAGGCTTCAGCACCAGGCCCAGCAAATCTAACGCTGACCCTGGTGACCCTGTTAAAATCAGGTCACAATCCTTTTTGGGGTCACAACCCACAGTTTGAGGATCGCTGGTCTAGTTGATATACTCAATTGGCCATGGGTTAACCAATGAGGCATCCGAAGGTTACTTTTGTGACTGTTTTGGGGCAGTTTATGGTCCTCCTCTTTCAGGCAGAGTTGCTTGGAGTGGAGACTTGAGTTCACATGATATTTCCACAGCCCAGACTGGCGTAGCCTAAAAAAAGAAATCCATTGGGTGGTAAACCAAGACACATCTAGCAACCTAGGCCAGCTTTTGGTAGTGACAAGAGTATTTAGTTACTATAGTCTACCTTCAACTGGACACTAGTATATATAGTCACTTAGTTCTTAGCCTGGTCCTCACTGGGGGGGGGGGGGTCAACCTAAGATACACAACTTCAGCTACGTGACTAGCGTATCTTAGGTTGACTTACCTGGCCGTGAGGACAGCGGCGAGTTGACCGCTGCTGCTCCCCTGTCGACTCCGCTTCTGCCTCTTGCCAGCTGGAGTTCCGGAGTGGACGGGGAGCGCGTTCGGGGATCGATTTATCCGTGTCTAGATGAGACGTGATAAATTGATTTCCGATAGATCTCTACCCGCTGATCCGGCGGGTAGTGAAGACCTGCCCTTAGAATTGCTAGCACATCTGTAACTTGTAAGCAGAGCTGCATTAAATATCTTGTGGCTGAGTGCTATGCAACGTTCAGTTTCAGAAAAGCTACATTTATGGAAGGATAACTTGTAACGTATTATTAATTGAACTAAAAGTTAAAAAGCTAGCACGTATCTTTCAGAGCACTTATACTAGTGTCTCCAAATAACTTTCTGTATTTGCTGTGAATATTATGTTAGACAGTGGCTTTTATATTTGAATTGATGCATAGGCATCAAATGCACTGCCTCATTTTTTCTTT